TGCTCCTGCTTCTAGCTTGCCAACCTTTACAGGGAAAGCAAAGCTGCTGCAGTTTTCCTGGCTCTGGTTGCCTTGCTTTGTTGGACACCACAGCTGTGTATTATCTGGTTTGTCTGTTTGTTTGTGTGCTTGCTTCTGTGTGTGTTTGCTTGTTTGTTTGTATTTTTGTTCTTGTGTTTGTTTTGTTCTTTTGTTTGTGTGTTATTTTGGCTTTTTTGGGCATGGAGCCTGAGCTGCCCCTGGGCAGGTGATGGCCCCACACTGTGCTGCTGGAAGCTCTGCTTCATGCTCAAGAGAGCATAATGACCTTGGCAGCAGAGCTGGATCCTGAGCCCAGCTTTGAGCCCCTCGCTCAGGCTTCCGCCCTGCTGCCCTTGCCCCCCAACTTTTTCCTGGAGAGGCGGGTTTGGAGGCTGGACACCAGATCAGACTGGTGGGACCGGCTAGTACTGCAGCAGTGGGATGACGATCAGTGGCTCAAACTTCCGGATGCGGAAGACCACCTTCAGGAGCTCTGTACCTGGCTCGCCCCTGCCCTGCAACACCAGGACACCCACTTGCGGCCTGCCATCCTCCTGGAGAAGCACGTCGCCATTGCACTCTGGAAGCTGGCCACCCCCAACAGCTACTGCTCTGTGGGGCATCAGTTTGGTGTGGGGAAGTCTACCGTCGGGGCCGTCTTGATGGAGGTAAGTCACTCTCAGGGGACAGTCCAGGGGGGCAGTCAGGACCAGGCACAGGGAACTGGGGATAGGGTAGCAGAGGTAGAAGCCCTCTCAGCCTCACCCTGCCATGGTGCAGGGTCAGGGAAGGGATTGTCTGGGGGACAAAAGAGGGAGCACTTCTCATCAGGTGAGCCAATCCCTCTAAAGTCCTGTGCTGTGTGTTTCTATTTCTCCCGTTCTGCAGGTGGTGACGGCCATCAATGCGGAGCTGCTCCACAGAACCGTTTGCCTCGGAGACCTGCAGACCATCCTGGCCGGATTTGCGGGGCTGGGGTTCCCAAACTGCGGTGGAGCACTGGATGGGACCCACATCCCCATCTGTGCCCCGCCCCATCGAGCAGCACAGTACATCAACAGGAAAGGCTACTTCTCTATGGTGCTGCAGGCACTGGTTGACCACAGGGGACAGTTCACTGATGTTTGTGTCAGGTGGCCAGGCCGGGCACACAATGCCCGTGTGTTCAAGAACTCATACCTGTACCGCAAGCTGCAGACTGGGGCATTCTTCCCAGAGAGGAACCTGGCAATCGGGGATGCGCAGATGCCTACATGCATCGTGGCCGATGCGGCCTATCCTCTTATGCCCTGGCTCATGAAGCCCTACACCGGCCACCTGGACGTGAGCAGGGAACTGTTCAACTCCTGCCTGAACAGGGCTCGCTTCCAGGTGGAGTGCGCCACTTTTGTCAACAAAACCCTGTAGTCTAGACACACCCCTAGTGCCCAGGTCACCTTAGGGGCAACTGGTGCTGGGGGAGGGGAAAAGGGCAGGGTTGGGTGGCCTGGGATTGAAACCCACCACCCTGAGTTTCCCAGGTGGTTGTCCTATCCCTCAGGCCACAGCAGAACCCACCTTACCTTAAGAATGTCCCTTATCCTGTTCTCACTCTGGGTGCCTGTGGGGGGTCAGTGGAGAGCAATCACCCCCTACCGGGCAGGTAGGGGAACTCAGGGAACCC